AAATCGAAGTTTAAAAATGCTTGTTTTAAAAATTGTGTGAATGAATAATGACCCCATAAAAATTACCCCGTGGAAGCTAAAGATTGTGTTCCAGAGAAATCTGTTTTTCAAAGATTGACTTTTTATCATGAATGCCTGACATCTTGTCTACACAGAAGTAAGTAATTAAGGAGATTAAGGAAGGGTGAATTTAACTGAGAAAAATGTAGTTAATGAGGGTGCTTGTTTAGTGCATTAATTTTCTTACTAGAATAAACGTAAGCTGTTCCTTGTGTAGAATGAAAGGCATTTGTGATGTTTAATTCCAGTATCGATTTCTCATTAGATTTGCTTCTCTGCGAGAAAGCCGCGTGAGACAAAATTGGTTTGAAAAATTGAAATTGGTGAAATAAAAAATGGTTTGAAATAAAAATTTGGTTTGAAATGTGATTTAACTAAACATATGGTGTAGCAGAAATTTCTTTTCAGACTTTTGTTTTAGGTCGAATGCTCTGTATCACACGAATAGTAGTCTTCAGAATTTTTTTTATGCTTCAGTATCCTGACCTTATAATACAACATACTCGACACATAATCTAATCTTTCATTTTCTATTCCTTCACGTTTCGTAAATCTGAAAGAACTTTCATTTTATTGTCCTTTTAAAAATCTCATACAGGTATAAAATATGTTGCTTAACTCTTGCATGCAGTCGCCTGTGTTTCCTACTGTGCCTCAAAACGATTAAAGACTAAGAACGGCTGATTATAGACCCATGGTTCCATTGATAAATCAGTTAAATAATGTAGACTTTCAGACAATGACAATTTTGTTCACGTGGCACATTTTAGTAAAAATAACGAAATTCAAACTTTTATGCATGACCCTCCACAATGATAGATTCCTTTAGTAAATCATTTCTTGCCACACTAAACAACTTTTTGGAAAGAAAAAGAGGTTATTGGTTTCATTTAGCATCTTGAAGCAGAATGTGTGCTACTTCACTTATGGGAAATATTGATTGTAAATCTTTTGCTCATGCAACCCAGAGAAAAAAAAGTGCACTGCTCTGTATCTTGGATATCGAAGTCTTTCGTTTATTAACTAAATTAAAAATAATAGCTTAATTAATTAATTTAATTATTACTTCTATACGTGGTATTAATTTATGACACAATAATAGCACATCAAGCTTCCCTTCCCCACCATATTGCAGTGGCATGTTGAAAGTTGGTTTAAAATAACTCAACTTACACTCTGCGTCTTGAATTTCTGAGAAGTAATTCTTAAACTAGTAGATATATCGTAACGGTTCAGCTTGAAAATGTTTCATATATTGAAACACAAGTTAAGATAATTTTTTTAAACTTTTTATGATTTTTTAATACTATTTCAATTGTTAGTGAACTTTTCTTTAGGGTGTAGGAAAACTCAGTGTTTGTTGAAGTAGAATTCATCATAGCAGTAGCTCTTTTAGCGATTCAACATTATCGCAACCTACAATGTGTAAGGAAATGAAAGAAGAATACGACGCACAGGAAAAGAGAATGAAGAATTTCGAGAATTTATTAATTTTATATCTACTTCAATCGATGTGGTTTTTCTTGCACTTAGCTTTAGCAGGCATTTCATCGTTTTTCTAATTAACTCTGAGGTATTTAACTATAATTCTGAAAATTGCAGTTTTTATAAGCAAAACAAAATTCTCTAATTTGCAAAATTACCCTCAAAGTATTGCCAAATCTGCATTATTAAACTACTTTCTCTAAAGAAGAGGAATAGCGCAACATATCAAATTCAAGGAACCAACGAAAACTATATTTTTGTTTTTAAATTTTAGCATTTATACAGAGTATACCTATAGAGAAGTAAGCTCCAAAAGTGGCCGAGCGTTTTGAAGACAGCTCAATCTATTAGCTCCGCCCAAGTAAACCGGCTGGCCGCGTGGTTGGTTTTCGTAGTTCTCCCCATGTGAATGCGACCAATTTCCCGTAGAAAGTCGTTCACGAAGGCATTCCTTCATGTAGACAGATAGCTTTGTGTGTTTTGCGATAGCCAGGCAACCTGCCTGCAGAGAAGGAAAAATGGCAGAGAAGTTAGCTTTAATTGCATAAAATTTAATAAAGCCTAAAATAAGGCCTGTGCACTTAATACTGTATGTTCCCAAATATTTTGATAGTAAATATTTCTGTACCTTTTTATAATGTGGAATAAAATATTAAATTTTGTAATGAAGTTAAATGAAACAGTGTATAGAATATGCTGAAAGTGTATGGAGATATCCGGAAATGAATTGACATGAAAAATTTTATGTCATTTGAATTAAAAATTATGTATGGAGATTGTTATTAAGAATTTGAAGATCGTCCTGTTTTCGCTACAATAAGTGCAGACTCATTTGCGCGAAGTTTTCATATCATGTTGAAATGTTATGTTTGTAAAATTCATATTTCATATGATTTGGAAGCGTTTGTAGGCTTCTAAAAAAACTATCACATTATTTGTAGCCATGATAGAAGTTTTTATGTGAGTTACGAGATTATTCTTATATCATTGATGTTCCTGTCCGATCGGGCAATTCTTAGATTACCTCGGCATTGAAGGAACTTGTCTTCAAATGAAAAGGTTTCTGAATAACAGAATAAATCTGAATCCCAAATTCTAATGATTCATTCCATTTCTGTTACCTGATTATTGGAGCCGATATTCACAATATCTGATGATTCAAAAATAAAGCATTGATTATGAGAGAAGTATTAATCAAAAATCAGAAATTTCGCAATTTAGTAACATTTTAATAATATCACTTCCACTTTTAATAATACCACTATGCAGCCAGTTGAAAGAATCTTACACAAGCACAATACGAGATTTTTCCGCTTCTACAAACTTCCTTTAGAATTTTTTTTCTTTAAAAACTGTAATAACTTGCTATTTTTCTATTTTTGAAAAAGTTATAAACACCTTCGGATAAATGTTTCTGTAACTTATTTTCAAAACACCTATTAAAATTAATTTTGTTTCTCTATAAAATCTCAGCATGTTTGGATACATAAACTACTTAAGACTCAAATCTGAAAGTTAAGTGAATTATCGTTATGTTTCGTAAGAATATATATAAAATAAGAAGAGCGTTATAGAAATTATTAAAGAATACTTTTATAAACTCGAAAAATAATTCAACAAAAATCATTTCTTGTGCTTACTAAAACAGCCAGCATTTGTGGCATAATGCAAAAGGTAATAAATTTAGTTTATAGCTAAGTTGCAAGCAGCCAAAGGCTACATAGAATGAGTAACGCAAATATTACCTCAGACCTAATATCGGCGTGAGGAGCTTAATGGAGAGAATAACGCAACGTCGCAGACAGGCTGCTATCAAGAAGGTTCAACTAGTAACGTGACTTTCATATTCAACAATACACTCATATTCAACAATATAAAACACACTCATATTCAGCAATCTAAAACCATCCTTTAAATTTTATCTATTTCTACTTTTTCTATATGCGAACTAAAATTTGTATTTTGGCAGGAAAACGGAAAGCAAGAAAGCCAAAAAAGCTAATTAACATAAAATAACTGGTTAATAAAAATATATAAATCTTTATATCTTCCTTTCCAGAATTTAAGTACTCGCAACGAAGATCTTTAACTACCTTGTGAAGATTTTAAATTATAACTAACCATGAACCAGTTTCTTACAAGCGAAAGATCTTACATTAAAAGCTAATCTTACAGCTGTATTGACAAAGAGCTGGATCTTGAAACGGTTTTCTTCGATTTACAATAAATCAGTTGGTGATCTCCTTCTAGTCATCTAGAAAGAAAAAGATTGTAGCGAAAACATTCAACAGATATTACATTACTTTTAGTTTAATTCAGCCTTTTTTACCCTTATCTTATTTAAACGTTTCATCCAACATCTTTTCCTACAACTTTATTCGAACTTTCTACTTTATCCGAAATTTCATGAATTTCATATAAATCTCTTCCCCGCTGCTCTCCAGTAAAAATGTACTGAAATGACTAGGCGAGTGTCTTTTATATAAATAGTACAATACTACCATTACCCCATATCCTGTACTATGCACCATCTACCTTGTATCTCTTTCAATGGGAAATTTTGCACGAAAAATGAAGCAAAAGCTGATTGATTATACTTGTATGTTTCAACAACGTGCAGGCAATTGCATAGCCTTCCCTACTTAGGTCGTGGACTTCAGAAAGCTTGTTATGGCGAAGTAAGAGTTCAAATTAAATGAAGATGTAGAAAATTACTAATGTAATAATGTGGGCAGAGTGATTCTTTCTAAACAGGTTTAATCTATGCAGGTATAATAACAAGCCTAAATTATACTTCGTTACATTAATACTAGCAATAGATTTTAATTTTAGAAAACAGTATCTACAGTACTGTGAAACCTCAGCATCTTCGATCATAAGTTAATGTGATTGATCCATATCTTAATTCAGCTGAGTTGTTTAAAAGTAATTGAAGCTGTGCCATGAAAAACATATATCAAGCAGAAATCCTGGTTGCGATAATGTAAAATAATAATTCACTTAATTTATATTTAAATAATTTTGTTGATATTATATTAACACTACCGCTGCGCTAAACATAATGCTAACCGAAGAGAGATACGAAAGAAGATGAACGGAAATTAAGCAATCGGCCATATAAGAACAAAAAATAAAAATAAAACTTATGAATGTAACACTTCTAAATTATAATGAAAAGTATTAATAAAATTATGTTCTTTAAAATATAACTGTAAGCCAGTTTGATGTGCTTCAAAATTGCAAGTTAACAATCATAGATTTTGTAAGAGAAATTTCTGATTTTTCGAAATTAATTTGGCGCCCCTTTTAATTATTCACTTAATCCAAGTGAGATACTTTCCTTTATCGCGGCTGGGTTTGTATCATTGGATAAGAAACATTTGTACTGATTTAGCTCTCTCTTCGTATGTCTTTACTGAGTTATCAGTTTTATTCTAATTGTTGCATATTTTCAGCTCGTTGTGTAGACCAGCACCTTGGTCCGTCAGTAGCAGCACTGATGAAATTGTCATTTGACGAAGAACACAGATATGCAATGTGCCAATTAGGTAAGAAATTTGGTAATAGTTAATCGTAAACATTAATCATATCTTCAGTTATTTTCTGTTATCTTAATTACCAATATAATAAAACAGCTAAACATAATATTTGGTTACAATTAGAAATAAATAATTAATTTGGTTTCATAATAAAACTAAAACAGGTACTTCTAGCTTTCATAGGAAAAATGCTATTTAAAAAAGTGTTTTAACAATAAATGTGAAAGATACGGGAAATTTAGCATATAATGTTAATAAAAGGAATTTATTTTTATCTAAATTTCAATAAATTATGTTCAGTGCATTTAAAAAATTATCCATTCTTTTAATTTATCAGTTTTTTTTTCCTGGCATGTGCCTGTTTTTTATTTTCTTTCTCCCTTTCCCCTTACTGTTGTTATTATTTTCAGTTTCGAAAAAAATCACATCATACATATAAAATTTTGCTGCAAATCTGGAATCTGGATGAATAAAATCTTTCAGTTATTATTGATATTATAAATGTATATTGCTGGATACAGTATCAAGTTAATCAAAAGTTATTTTATCAGGATATCTTAATAACTTGTTGCAAGTGCTGTTTTATATACAAAGTCAGAAATAAAATATATTTTAACACCGTATAATAGGTGCAAAATTTCTGACTCTTATTTTTTGTTTACATTCCCACTGCATTAAAGATAAAAGTAAAATTTATGGCGAAATCTGATAAACTGCAAACCTCTATATTTCTTTTTTTCTTTTTAATTTCATGCCAAAGGTAGTTAATTAATATTTTTCTTTTTATACCATTTTATGTTTGATAATGAAGTGCAGAAACAACCGCCGAACTTTTAAATTAATTTCTTTTTTTTAATTTAGTTTCAATATTATTCAAAACTGAATATTAAATTTTATGAATTAGTAACAGTAGATCTGATTTGTATTTAAGAAAGGAAGCAAAATGTTTGCGTGAGTTTTAATATTTAAAAAATATTGATATACTTTAATTTCTTTTAGTTTTTAATGCAAACTTCTTCTTGGGGTATTATTTTAAGTTTCCAGATTGCAATATGTTTCGTTAACATTAAATAGGAAGGCTCGTGTGTGTATTTCGTGTTTATTAGTTTGTTTGGTTGTTTGGAGAAGTAAGATTCACAGCACCTAAAAATAAGGATAACAATTTTTAAATGTTATTTATCCTGTATATGTAATTACATTATTATTTATTCTGTATACATAATTAGATTAATGCATCATCATATGATAATCTGTAAAAACAACTTTGACAAAACTATATTAATCGACATAATTTTTTTTATTATTTATTTATTTGTGTGTTTGTGTATATGTATGTTTCATTTCAATATTCAATAAAACAGGTGGTCTTCAGGCCATCGCTGAGCTGTTGCAGATAGACCATGAAGTACATGGTTGTACCAACGACCAGTATTGCATCACCATCAGACGATATTCTGGAATGGCCTTAACTAATCTTACTTTCGGAGATGGGGCAAACAAAGCTTTGCTGTGTTCGATGCGACCCTTCATGGAGGCCCTTGTGGCTCAACTCTATTCTCCTAGTGAAGATTTGAGGCAGGTGAGTAAGGAAAAGCTTTATTTAAACAGAAAACAAAATGACATTACTACACGGATTACGGATCATCACTTTGGTACTAGCTTCAGCTACTGTGAGTTTTTTACTAGTCGATTTAGTTTATTGCCTTAAGGCAAATCACGGTATTTTTTTTTTTTTTTTAATTATAGTGCAATCGCACCAGGAGGCGGCTCTATTATTTTGGCAAAGTCAAGAGTTCAATGATTAAGTTCGTAAATTCACAAAGTCCTTATCAGCGAGTGAATTGAGCACTGCGGTCTTAAAATCTTGCAATTTAATCTTTAATTCATATAATGGAACCAGGTAATGAAATTTCTTCGCTGCTATGTTAGAAATCGAAATTATAAAATTAAAATAATATATAAATTTTATCGACTGCTAAATTAAACGCCTTTTTATACAATTCTAGCGTTATAACCGGTAAAATTGGATACTGGAATAATTTGCTATGAAAACATTTAATTTACATATCGCTGAAATTCACATTTAAAGTAATTTCAAATCAAAGCGCAGATTTAAATAACGAAGTTAAGGTGCTTTGAAACATCATGTAAAAGAAAGACGAATATTATAAGCTTTTATGCTTTTATATCTTCTATATATGATATGCTTTTATATCTGTTTGATCTTCAATATAAAAATAGGATTTACGGAGGTTGCGAAAATTTTAATAAATTAAGCCATAATTACATTTGACTCTTGAAATAAATTGAACGCATACGTAAGAACAAAGTAACTAACACTGTTGAATTTCGAGAAATAACATTTGATATCGATTACGAAAACTTTGTATGTCTGAGTGATTTCTGTACTTGAAAAGTGATTGTCGTTATTTTATTCCATGCAATGTTTAAAAATAATCATATTAAAAATCCAAATTTTTCCAGTTTCTTTCATACAATATAAGAAACTGGTTTACAGTATGTAAATTTCTATTTTTTAGAACATATACTAAACTAAAACCATAAAAATGTAACGTGCAAAAAGATTAAATCTGCTTTTTTGTTTAAATAACTCAGAGAAATGTTGAATTATGATGTTATTTTATTAAATTAGAATCGAAGGCCTGCATAACAGATTTGGTCGCAGGTCTTCATTTGTGTAAATTGGATCATATATGTAAAAAGAGTTTTGTTAGAATTGATTGTAAACCTGTCAAAGAAAAACATTTCTGCTAAAATCAACTCACGAATAACTGGACTGATACGAAGAACGACATCAATGATTAATTTTAAATCGCATTTAATCCGTGTGCAGTTATAAAAACACAAAAAGATAAATAATGAATGTTGGCATTAACAGAGAAAACACTTTTAATAATTTACATATTTTTCCAAGGAGTTTAATCTGAAGAAATGTTCATTTAATTTAAATTAGGTTAGTATTCATACCAAAAAAAGCATACTGTAAGTAGCGGAAGAAAAAGCATCATTAAAGATGAATAAACTGAGTTAGTTGTAATTGCCATTTAAGAAGGCTAGAAAACTTGCATAATGAAATTAAATTGAAACTCTTGTTTAAAAAAAAAAAAAGAAAAGAAAAGAAAGAAAGAAAAGAAAAGGGCAAAAATAGAGAGAGATTAGAACTTTTTGTTTTGGGTCTTTTCTTTTTTAAGATCGGAGAATTTATATTTTTATATAATCCCATGTTATTTATACTGCTTAAAAATACTGTATTTATATGCAAGCCAATACAAACAGACAGATAAAAATATAAATCGAAAAGTGTTGCCTTTATTTTTAACAGGAAGCTTTTAGCAAATTTTATTAAAGAGGTCTTCAAGATTATGAACTTCCTCCTCCGATCGTTAGCTTTCATGATGAGACAAAAAATCATATGAGAATGACGGCATGAGAAACGGACCGCGCATGCGTGCGTTTCCCAGATTTCGAGAAAGAGAAGTTGGAACGATCATCTTTAGTATAACATGAAACCTCGTTTACATCACTTAACTGTTTTTTAAACGTTAAAATAAGACATTTCCTGAACCAGGGGATTATGAAATCTCTACTTAACTTACCACCAGCTGATTTGCTGTGGTACCACCTGTTATATGATTATCCGCATTTGTACCCAATTGGTGGAGCATTCTATTGTCGCTAAGCCTAGCCAAAATACTCTATTGAATATTAAGATTTGTAGCGGAATTTATAAAGTTACTTCCGAAGATGGGTATTTGTGACTTATGGTTATTAAAGAGACCCTGTCAAGACTTTGAATGTGCTGAATAAGGATTTTAGCAATGTTTTATGCATTGTGATTCTGATTTTACGGAGAATGTTTACTTACAGAGAATGTTCAGTTTAATAAGGGCCTTTTGTAGGAGCAAAATCTTTAATGAATATTCTATGAATGAACAGAAGCACCCAAAAAAATTATGCCAATTTCTTCGCCGTGTTAGGTAGCGAATAATTTTTAATTGTTGAAAATTTTAGTCTTCGGCTTCTATTCCATGCTGTGATATTTCATATCCCAGGTATAAAAGTTCTTAAACCTACTTCCTTTAGAAGTCTAAAAACTTCGTGTAAATCCTTAATGTGCTCATCAGTTGTCCTACTCTTGACTCTTATGTCATCTAGGTATATAAGTTAGGCAAAGCAACAGCTTTGTGTTTGTTGTAGATTTTAACCAAAACTCTAGCGATTTCGAGGGCGAACAGTTACAGGTCCTTCTTCATCAGGAGCAAAGAAATTTTGCTAATCGTAGAATATTTTATTATTTATTTACTCTTTTTGTATAACAGAAGGCGCCATTTATGCCACAAAATGAAATTCCGTCCTTGCAGGTATTTAAATTATCATGAACTGTAATTTAAATTTTAGTAACGTAGTCTGAGACAAAATAAGCTGGTTCAAGTAATTAACGGGTGCATTTTTAACTTCCGTTAATAAAATGGCGGAAGCCAGAATAAACTTTGGTAGAGGACTTGAACCGCAAGCGAGGCTTCCAAAAGCTCTAATGCTAAAACATTCAAAACCCACAACTTAAATATCCAAGCAACATATTTGCGTTCTGCTGATGACTATGGAATGAAGACGTTTAGAAAAAATTTAAATCATAATAATTGATAAATTAATGTAAAATCCTTAGAATTTAATCATATAGTTGTTTTTGGGTTTATCATTATTAACGCATTCTTCTAGAGAAAGAAATATAGAACATTCTACATTCTTAAAAATTTTCAGTATTGCGGTATTTTCAGTATCATTTCCTTGTGTGTCTTTCCTTAATGTCATGATAATAATAATTTTTATTCAGTTTGACTGGAAACCAAATTCAGTTTGACTGGAAAACATGCTAGCTGCATAGTTTTACTTGATTACTTTAGCTGCATAGGTTTACTTGATTTTTCCCATGTGTAAGTTAAGCACTAGCCAGTTTGCCGGAGAAAGTTCTCCAACGGCAGATAGCCCTCGGGTGTTTCGTTACGCTGCAGTAACCTAAAAATGGTGCATTTCAGTTTATTGATTAAAATTATAGTAGCAAAACTTGCCACATAAATGAAAAGCAGAGCAATTATAAGAAACCACAGTAAAATTCTCTAAGTTGTCCCAATTTCTGTGGATCTTCGCTTGGGGATAATCCGTGGTTATATAGCAAAAGAGGAAGAAAACCTATTAAAGCTAGTCTGTTTCCTACAAGGTATATGGACGTAAGCACTTGTAACGTGAGTAGAGCGATATGGCCTCTAAACAGGAAGAAACGGTTTTTATGATCTTGAATCCGCAGAAACGTATTTTGTTACTGCCGCACGGCGTCATTTTAAAACACGGCTATGGATGAGAATCTGCCCTTGCGTTGGATTGGCCGTTCAGTAGACCAAAACATGACTGACGTATCAGCCCCCCAAAACCAAGATTTCCCACCATGTGAATCCCAGTGAAATACGTGAATACTGAAGAGATAACTGAAGAGATAACTTTTTATTCCTCCCCCCTTCCTACCAGTTTCGACTATACTAAACAGCGCGTCATAACTGTTTTTGTGACTGCTGATTCGGTGATGCTGAGACGTGTTTGAGAACTTAAATATCAGATTGATTTTTCTTCTGTTACAAACGGTTCACACAGAGAATTTTTGTAATTTAGCTATGTAAATTACAGAACATACTATTTTAACTATGTTTCAGCCGTGCTATTAAAACTGTACTTTCTGTAAAATTTTGAAAGTGTGTATTTCTTTCAGGGTAATCCTGAATCAGTTTGATTACAATTAAATTAACATACTATTGTAGACAAAACCAACTCTCAAACACGGTGACAACATCTGCTGTCTGCTCTTAATCTATGCATTTTTATACTCATTTATCTATTTTTTATGTACAGTTTTGTTTTACGATGATGGTTTGCGATAGTGATGTTTGCATCATTCCGCAATAAACAAACTTTTTAATGTAGACAAGACCCGGTGAATCTGCTCCCGGTAATCAGGAGTTGACTGTGTTCATTTCCTTCGCTCTATGCTGTGGCAGCCCTGGATAATAATTGAGACAAAATGAGCGAAAGTCCTTGGATATTTCGACGAGGTCAATAACTCATCATTCGCTAACAAGCTGAGAAACACACATGGGCTTCCTCCTCCCACTCTGTACACAGTGTCTATCGTGCTTCCGGAGTTCTTTTATTTAAGTTGTTGAGTCACGGCTGTTAATTAATCCAGAGGTCAAAGGGGAAATGATTGCAAGCAGAGACCGAGTGCAAAAGAAGCGGAACAGTGAAGAGATAAATCATTCTTGTTTCATTTGCGTGAATATTTATTTCACGGTCACTGCGGCCCGTGGACAACGTGAATTCATTGATGCAAAATGGAGCAAATTCGGCGGCCATCAACCTGGCCTTTAAAGAAAGAGCAGTAAAACAAAACAAAACAAAACAAACAAACAAACAAAACAAAAAAAGAACTACATTCCTTGGCAGATTCTGCTTTTAAAATACAATCTTTCTGAAAAAAGATATTTCAGCGAAACTTTCTTGGAGAGGATT